AAAAAAATCATAAAAAATAACGATTTAGTGAAAAACACCCATTTTCCCATTGATTTGAATGGGGACTTCCGACTAGTGCGTCACGCAGGGTGTAACGCACTTCAACTTGGCGTAGTTCTCTTATTTGGTCGGTGACCCCCAACTTTTTTGGCAAAATTAAAATCTACTTGGATGCCTCTTTACACAAAAAAGTTTTGTTAAAAATTCAAACGTTAGAAAAATAATAAAAAATAACGTTTTGGTGAAAAACACCCATTTCCCCATTGATTTGAATGGAGACTAGTGCGTCACGCAGGGTGTTGCGCACTTCAACTTGGCGTAGTTCTCTTATTTGGTGGGTGACCCCCAATTTTTTTGGTAAAATTTAAATGTACTTGGAGGCCTCTTTACACAAAAAAATTTTTTAAAAAATTCGAACATCAGAAAGTCATAAAAAATAATGCTTTAGTGAGAAAACACCCATTTTCCCATTGATTTGAATGGGGACTAGTGCGATATGCAGGGTGTATCATATTTGGGGCTAGTTCTCTTATTTGGTCGGTGACCCCCAATTTTTTTTGCAAATTTTTAATGTACTTGGGTGTCTCTTCAAACAAAAAAAAATTTAAAAAAATTCGAACGTTGGAACATGTAACGACCGATCTACCTTAAATGTTTGTGAATGAAGTGAATATGTGTGTTTATATTTGTGATGTATGTTTTAGTCTGGGGATCTGGTACATCAAGTCAAAGACCACAATAAGCAAATAAATGATATTCAGACGTCCAAAGACAAAACGATGGTGATAACAGCCTCCAAGGATTGCACAGCTAAGGTTTGTATAAAACAATATAATTAAAGGAGATAATAACAACATTTCATTTCCAAGTATATATTTGAAAAAATTCTTAGTGTCTTATAGCATTTAGCAAATGCTCTGAGATACTGTCAACTGTGTAGGTATGATATTTAATACAACATTAGTTTTTGATTGGTACGTTGTAATTAATGAGTTGTCATAGCCGTCTTTGTTTTTTTCATGTGAATGACTGGCACAAGTTATTGCATATAAATATGGTCCTGGTTTTAAAGATGTTGTTTTTCTTTACAGTTATTTGATACAGCTACTCTTAAACACATGAAAACATATAGGACAGAGAGGCCAGTTAACTCTGCATCTATTTCTCCACTCATGGATCACGTAAGTAGTTACTAGTAAAAGAAGTTAAACTTTTAGGAATGTCAGATCATTAAATTTTTCAAATGTAAACGTGGTTTCAGAAATGACATGCATTCATTAGAGCTGCTAAAGGATTAACAACCTGAGAGTCATTTAATCTGGAAGTTCACAAAAAATATTGTGGGTTTTTCAACAAACCAGTTTACAAAAGAACATTGGCCTTAAAATTGGCGTTAACTTTTAGACAAAATGGTTTAGTTTAGGGCACCAGATAATTAATCTTGCACAGGGGACAAAAAACATGAGTTTTGTCTTATTTTTTGGTCAGTGTCATCAGAGATACTGAAATTTTCTCTTTCATATTGCGTTCCTGTACTCTTCCCATATGCTGCATGGTGAAATACCATGCCACATCAATACATCAGTGTTCATTTAAGCATTGTCCCAGCATGGCGTTTGTCTAATGACATCGATTTCTAATCTGAGCCCACTTCTACTTGTTTTAAAAACTTTCCTGGTCCTTATTGTGTTCTCCTTTATTTCTATGATTTTGACTTTCAGCAGTATAAGGTGGAGTTTGCCTGGTTTCCTGGGTATCGTGGCAGGCCATGATGTCCTCTGCCCTTAGATTTACTTCGACTGTTTCTTTTAGAATTGTACATACCACTTCACTCAATTTTTCTCCATCAAACTCCTTCATTCCCGTGATTGTCAGATGTGTTTTTCTTGAATATTGTTCATTGTAATTCACCATTTTTGTGCCTGGGGGACCCTGAGAGCCTAATCCCTCACAATTTTGTCCCTCTCGGCCAGATTCTCATGGAGTTCAGGACTTACAATCTCAAATGATTTAATTCTCTCTTCATATCTTTGATCCCCCTTTTGTTATGGCCGTGAATTTCCTTGATTATTCTGTCAGTTTCTTGGCTAAATACATGTACTTGCATAATATCATTTATCATAGTTTGTATTATGCCCTGGAGTGCATCAGTTTTAAATATTGGTTTTATTTCTGATTCTATTTCTTATACTCATGAGGGATAAAGACTCCTCTGCATTACTAGTAGAGTTAAATTCTTCACCATGATGCCGTTTTGTGGGTGGTAGTGGCTCTTTTTCATTTTTTCTTTTTTTCCATCAGCATTAGTCAATTTGCTGTGAAAGTATTTAGATTTATTCCCAGAACTCATGATAGCAGTTTACTCCAGACAGGTACGAGTCAGTGGAGTATATATATATATGCGGAAGACCTCGTATGTATTATGGCGGACAGTTCAAAGCACACATGTAATAGCCGTGCAGATGATCCTCAAAGTATGTCTACTGAGCTTTTGTATTTGTGAATAAAACAGCTTGATCTATGCATACCATCTTATCCTGGATGCAAAGCATTATATCTTGTATTGGCACATAAGATGGTCATAGTAAATATCCAAAAGGTGGACAGCCCCAAAGATGGGTCTTCTAACCACTGTCCTCCACCTTAAGTCCTTCTTAATGTTGTAATAAATATATCAACGAAAAATATTATTTCAGGTTGTACTAGGTGGTGGACAGGAGGCTATGGACGTGACTACAACATCCTCAAGGATAGGGAAGTTCGATGCTAGGTTCTACCATCTTATATTTGAGGAGGAATTTGGTAGGGTCAAGGGGCATTTTGGGCCAATTAACAGTCTGGCTTTCCATCCAGATGGCAAAAGGTTTGTACTTTTTTTACTTCAAAGGCACTCAGTGAGTTTTAGAGCTTGTTTTAAATAAATTTCAACACTTTTCATTAAACTACTTGATGTCCAAAAGGGTTGACAAATTTACTTGAAGATCATTTTCATATTTAAGTTTCTAATTTTACGATCCTTAGTAATGGGTACAAAGACTGGTGACTTTCACTCCTATTTGAAATTTATAATTTGATAAAAAGTTTAAAAATCATCATGATATTTTTCCTATATAAATGCCTAACCAGCATTGCATGTTTTAAAGTATCCTTCATTAGTCAATAGATTTTCTTTATAATATTGTGTACAACAGAAATGGGCTTTAAGGCTGTATTCTAAAGCGGAAGAAAAAATAGTTTATACGTTGGACAACAGACACTTTCACATGTCATTTGAATACAATTATTCAAAAACCCTGTTTGAGTTTGACTTGAGTCCTGCTTAAAGTCCATTCTCTACAAATTTTGCACTGTTATTAGAAAATAAGTAAATTGAACTTCACACAAAATATTTGATCTTTATATATTTGAGATTCAAAATGATAAAATGAATAATTTATTTTTATTTCAGCTACAGCAGTGGTGGTGAAGATGGATTTGTCAGATGTCATCAGTTTGATTCACCATATTTTGAGTTTGACTTTGAAGTTCAATAAGTTATTCATGCTGAACAATCATCAAATTGAAGAAAAACTGATAATATATTCCACCCAGGATTGATACATATTGGATATTTAAAAAGATAACTATCTCACTGAAGAATATTGTCATGAGCATGATTATGATGTATAAGCTTATCAAACATGCAATGCCAAATGGAAACAGAAATGGACTTTTAAAGTGGTATATAATATCAAAGAAAAAAAGTAATAATCATATTTATCTTTTAAGTCAACAAATAAAAAAATTCACCTTTTTCATTTTGTTTGTTGGTTTAAAACATTTATTCAAAACAGTATGTGAAAAGTGTACAGATTATTGGCAACATTTTATATTAACATGGCAAATGATAACTATTATGTGTCTCAAAGCTCCCATTCTGCTAAAAAAACTAATAATAAAATGATGGACTTGTATAGTGACTTGGGGCTAAGAATGAAAAACTATAAATAAGACTGGAAGCATTCTGCACTATTTGGGCACCTAGTTTTTACTTAACAAATACAACAATAAATGAATAACATTTGGACTTAACAGTAATGACAATGTCTTAAAGAACGTAACACAATTTGCTATCACAGTGAACCTGTTCAAAATGTATGCACCTATTTTACTACACTTTGTATACATAGCACTAAAACTTTCATATGACTAACATTAGCATCACAGTGAATATTTTAAGTGTGCACGACAGTGCACCTAATTTCTACATGGCCTGGGACTGAGTGACTGAAGTATTCCATTTTCAGTACAGTTCTATGCAAGAAAAGGTTTCACTTTTTTCCTTTTGAAGATTTGTCCCTTCCCTTTGCTTTTGAGTTTGCACTTTTTCTTCCAACTGGGGAATTTCCTCTTATTGGAGACTTAGTATTATATCTGGGAGGAGGGCCTGGAATAAAGGCAAGTTCACATTTTACAATAATATTTATGATAGTTTTTTATACTTGAAAAAAAAATCACATATATTCCCATAAGAAAAATATAACGTACTAAAATGGAAATCACTTTGATCCAGTAAAGAAAGTGGTCTTATTTGTTTACACATATCTGAAGGGAATTAATCATGAATTTTAGTATCAATTTTCCAAATAATACACGACAAATTTTGTGAAAAATAGAGGCCTTTTCCATGACAAAATGCAACTTACCCAATTCTTGTGGCCTAGCTAAACTTGTTTTTTCAAGCTTGAAGTCCAGATCATATTCTGCTTCCTCTATGCTGAGTCTCAAGTTATCTATGGCAGATTTCATATGTGCAGAGGCAAATGCTGCTACTGTTTTAGCAATAGTCTGAGAATGAAGAATTGTATATTTGAAAACAAAATTTTCAACAGAATGGTAAGAAGAAAATTGAAAATACTACTAGATATCTTTAAGTTCACAAGTGAGAAAGTTGATATAAACAAAATGTATCTTTCTTTTTAACTTTGTAAACATTGCTTTCTGCCATGAATATGACAACATACCTCTTTATCAGCAGTTTCCTCTAACTGTTCAACTTCTCTGTAAGCTTCCTTAATTGTTTTATCATTCTCCTCAGAAACAACAGTTTTCTTTTGTGCAAGCTCAGTCTTCTTTTCAGTCTCTTTCTGTTCTATTTCTGTCCATTTTTGATCATATTCCCATAAGTGCTGCTGCTTTCCACTGCTACAAGGAAGAGGGTCACGAGGTAGTTCCACAGTCAGATTCAGTTGTGTGTTCCATTTTTCTCTTTCTCTGGTGAAAACATATTGGTATAATTTAAAGTGTTTCATAAAAGTGTCAAAAAAGTAGTCTGTGTAAAGTTGAATGTTTCTGCCACTGATTTTCCCATTATAATGGCAACATTTTGACTTTAAAATCTTGATGGCTTCTGTAATAGGTTGATCTGAAAGTAAGAAGATTAAACATGTAAAAAAATACTAATATTTAAAAAAAATGTATCTTTTCATAATGACAAACTAAATAAATGTACATGGAGATGGACAGATAGTTCCAATACATAAAGACTCCAACCTGTAGAGTGAACTGGTCATTTAAGCTGGTATGTTTTTGTTATTGTTATTAAAAGAAATTCTTCAGAAAAGCTGCATGCATTAGACCATCATGATAGGGCATTTATATTTTGTAATGGCATGATGGTCTCATACTATTCACTTTTCTAAAAGCTTTGCTTTAATAATAATAATAAGCAGTGTTAGAAATTAAGGCTGGACCGTCTGTCCCGGGGCTGACAACTTTCAGAACGGGCTGATAAGTTTTCCCACCCAGCACACATTCAGTCCAGCTACTTTTCAAGATGGTCCAGCAACTATTTTTCCTGAGAGGCAAACACTGATAATAAGCTTAACTTGAAATGTATTCAGAGAGTGCAGACCTCCACCAAGGCAGCACAATTAGTCTTTTTGTTAATTGATTAATTAATTAATTAACTATTTAATGGATCATCACCGAAATCTGATTTTTCGTTACTTGGCTTACTTGTTACACTCATTGAAAATGTCATCAAAATCTGATAATAACTACTTGCATAGTCGTTAACAAATAGACCAGTAGTTCTAAAACCAATAATATATAACTCAGTGCTTACCAACAGTCTCCTTTAGTAACTCCATTGATAACTGTACAACTAGACAAACTTGAGACCAAGCAAACCCCTTTTCTATGGCAAACATAATTGTGTCATAGAGGTAGTCCAACTGTATTATTTGTTTTACATCATCTTCATTCAATTCCCAGCTTAAACAGTCAGCCAGCACACCCCGGGCACTTCTTCGACCCTACATTAAAAAATGAAAAATTTATATATCAAAGAATAATCATATGTAATTCAATCTTCATTACAGAGTACAAGGTGTTACAAGCCATTTTTTTCCATCAAGGCTATTTTATGCATGAAAAAAAAAAAAGCCTTATGTTTGTGTTAATGATACAATTTGTGGTACTGTATCTTTAACGTTATTCTAAGAAGTTGAGAAAGAAAAAAGAAAAAATGATCTTTTTCCAGAACTGTCATTAGAAATAAAAGGTATTTTACAGGAAAAGCAGGTGTATAATAGGAAAAGTGGGACTTATAGACATCAATGCGGGGCTGTAAATTCCTGTACTGGACATTTACTGGTAGATATAAAATAGACTAACAAAATGGCAAGGTGCACATCCACAGTCTGAAGGTGAATTAATCTGAAAGGCCATTTCATCAATTGTTCTGAGGTTTATGAGTAATGATAAATGATAATAATTATAATAATGATAAATAAAATAATAATAACAACAACAATGGGAATTTTGCTATAGATTTATAAATGAATGTTTTTAATAATCTATTCCAATTTCAAACTAAAGCAATGAACCTTTAAACCAAAATTCTTTGCCCCTTTGGAACATGAAGAACATGCAATTTTAGCAGACAGCCGAGTAGCTCATTTGAGGCAGTACATTAGTACATTATCAAAACGGTCGACGAGTGTCAGAGAAAAACAAAAGAATGGAACACAAAAGAGAAACTGACGTTCTCGGTACACATATTCAATTTAAGTGATTGACACAACATTGCAGGAAATGTACCTTAGTACTTGCAATCGCTTTTACTTGATCTGTTGTCAGTCCCGCCATCTTTGTTGCTAACCACTCAGTCTCGGACTTTCTCGTTGCTCTAATTTTAAATCGTTCGGGCTTTCTTAAAAATTCGGGCATTAGCCGTGATCAGTTGTAGCTATGGTATAATCGTTTTCGTAATTATCCATATATTTCATACTTTTGCTTTTGTACAATGAATTATGACTTGGAAAACAGAACTGCTGTATCTAAGTCACACGCTGTGCGAGATGACCAGAAAGTAGGTCATGCTTACAACAACAGAGGCAGGTGCCTGTGGAGAAGGTTGGTGGGATGTGCATTAGTTTACTGAATGTAATAACTGACATTATGTGTGGTTTCAGACCAATTGTTTGTACTTAAAGTAGTTTCAGTTAACTGAGAATAGAGAACTTAAAGGCGTTAAATGTGCTTGTGTTTCTAGTATCGGCATCGATTATTTTAAAGGTATATACTGTACATGTACTACTGAGTACCACTGTCCACTACCACATGTAGTACTACATGTAATTGCCATGGTATACAAGTATAATGTACGCGTTAGAAAATGTCACAAGTCATATCTTCTTTGTCTACATATCATGCAAAGCTTCTTGTGTTTTCTGTAAAAGAATAAAACCCTTTAATAAATGTCCCAGATGTCGATATTTCCTCCATAAACGTACTGATGGCGGTCAAAACGGCCGGCCAGATATTTAGAGCTAAAATATTTAGTTAGAAATTCTACAAATGTATAAAAGATCAAATCCGATTAAATTGTTGGTTCAAGCAATGGTACGCGAGTAAGACACATTTGCTTTTTTCTCTAGGAAAATTTGCTTTGGCATGAAAACCGTTGTTAGGATACTTTTAAGGCGCATATATATTTTATTAACTGAATTATTAAGTAAATTTCACTGTTTTTATCATATAATCATGTTATATATATACCTGTACATCGGACAGTCACCTATAATGCTTATTGTTATATGCAAATGGTAATTCAGAAAATGTGACATAGTAATATATGTAAGGGACTAGCTAATGGATAAGGAGTAGCTGCTACTTCATCAGCAAGTAGTAAATTTGCCTCAATGTATTTTTGATGTAACAGCATTATCTCATAATGGGACAATGTTTATTTCCACATTGAAAAGGCGTTATTCCTGTATTGAAAATATTTCAGACTGAGAAAAAGAATAGTATCACTATGTCAACAGAGATAGTACCTTGCTGAAACCTGGTTAAATTGTTCACATGCTTTTATGTGATTAATATTTTTACCTTCTTGCTAATGAAATTGGGGTTTGAGTTGTTGATTCGGGGTTCGCTATCACAGATCCATGGCTCTAGTTCACAAATGACAATTATCATTTACAAGGCCTGATATTTGTCAAGATCTGTCCTTTAGGACAATTCCTGTATATTTTGATGAGTTATTATTCACCATACTGTGAAATATTGGAAGGATTCCAAGACACCCTTTCCTAATAGGGTTGCATGTTATTTTTCGACACCTGGGGCCTTTGATCTCTGGTGATCTGGTGGGTGAAGATTTCGCACATGAAAAGTTTCACGCAACCTATCTATTGCTACTGTAATAACAGTTTGGTATTGTAGTAACTGATGAAGCATTCCTGGAGTGCCTTTTGGTTTACATGTAAACTCTGGGACATTTTTAGATTAGTGCAGGATAAGAAGCTGGTGTGAATTTTAATTCCAATTTGAGACCTTGAAAGTCATTTCTGGCTTTCAGGTAAGCATTGCAATAATGGGCGGGGGCTTACTTTACAGTTTGAACTCTCGGTCCATTGGGGATCTAAAGGTCCTACCTACTGAGAAGATTGTAATTTGTTAAGCTTCATGGCCTAGTCATAAGGGCTCTAGTGGGATAATTATATTGGCAAAATCTTGTGCCTTTTTCACATGGAGTGGGAAACTTAAGTGATACAGTCTGTACCACTGCCGCCAAGGGTTTTCCCAGTGAACCCTTCGTCTGTCATTTGGATGGCCACTAGCACCAGCAGACTGCCAAAATTTTCAAAGACAGCTGGATGGCTTATGGATTTTTTTTCGAAATATGAGGGCTTTAGGCATACTTGGACCCCCAGAAATTTTGTAGGAAATTACCGGTGGTAATTTTGGATGGCCTTTACCCCCAATCCTTGGAAGAGCCCTGACTGCCGCTATGGTTTATTAGGCTCCAGGGTGTTTTACTCCTTTTCTTGCTGTTAGGTAGTAAGGCCCGATTCCCTTGCAGTCAGCTTAACTGAATGACAAGCCGCCTCCTGGCTTTAAGTAGAATACAGAAAAGCTGATGATAATATAAGTACATTGGATACAGGAGGAGGCTTGTCATTCAGTTAATGTGATTGCACTTAGTTAAAGTCCCGTAAGAGTTGGGTTGATCCATGTAATATGGGCATGGTTTCTATGTTAATAAGCTTTGTTGAACACAGAGGCTCTGTTTAGGTGATTCTCTTATAAAATATCGGGCTTTTAAGTTGTCAGTCTCACAAAATGTACCAGTACCGACTGTAACCCTAAAGTATACCACTCAATGTGAAAAGGGTGTACATCCTTCAAAGTGGTCTGAATGATAGCAGAGCCCAGGGTTTTGTTGCACAAAAAGTCTAATGACTAAAATCTTAGACTTTAAAGATTTAGCAGACTATGTTGTATTTCACAAGGAATAATAAAAAGGCTGTTTACCTCATTATTACTTTTTGAATTAAGATTACGGTTAAATATTACTATGTTTGTTAGTCACCTGGTCGTATTTCACATAAAATAAATTATTCAAATCTGTTAGTGGACTTTGAAATTTGTCTAGTTGATGACGTTGTGTCTCCCTCTCCAAGACTTCGGCAGGTCGGCTGATTACTTTACAGGACTGAGAATAGTTGATCTCTATTCTCAGTAGACCATCCATAGTTTCTGAGAGGGAGATGCAAAGTTGCCAGGTAGACAAATTTTAAGGTCCTCTTTTAGACTTAAATAATTAATTTTATTACAATAAAGCACTAAAAATTTGATTTGAACCATTAAGCAGACATAATGATATTTATATTGTAAGTAAAAATGGTGGTTTTCTGTAGGTTTGACTTGATAAAGGAAATCATATACTAAAAGAAAAAGTGTCTTTGATAATGTTTAGAGGAACAGGTGCTAGAAATGAAGACTGTACTTTTATTAATTGAATATATCCCATTGATTAGTACTTAATCCATTTGTGGTGTGGCTAAGTTGATTGTTTTGTTTTATTAGTGACATGGGGATATCTGTGCGCAGTCAGATCCGTTATACGAGTAGCTTGCATGTGGCATGCACCTGAGAGTCATCTGAAAGTGCCAAGGGAGCTTCTCACCTTAAAAACAAGGCACACAAATATTAGGTTCCTGTTCTTGAAGAGATTCATTAGGCTGGTAATAAGTCTATTGTATTTTGTTATTTAATCATATCACAGACATATCACAGGTTAGTTTTAATGTTTGAAGATAATGATAGGGCACATTTTAAAAGGTAACTGTATGTGACATGATTAAATAAAATGCAATTTACAGGATGTTCACATTATTTTAAATAGAATCCATATATTTTTAAAATCATTTATTTATTCATTGAAAGGAGAAAAAAAGTGACTAGCTTTGATAGTTTAGTTATTGAATTAAAAATTATTGTAATATATTTAATTTTCAGGCAAATGAAAAATATATGTATTTGGAAGCAGTTACATTCTGTTCTGTTTGTTGTCTGCTAAAAGCTGATCACCTTTTTATTGATCAATGCTTTTGTGCCATGTTTGTCAATAGTTTGAACTGCAGATAAACTCTCATCTGCCTGTTGTGAAGCTTTCACTGCACTTTTATCTGTTGGTTGCCATATTGCAGCAAATGAGGTCCGCATGTAAGTTACAGTTAGGGTGCTTTCCCAAAGATTTAGATCGATCTAAAGATTAAGATTTAGATCGACCTAACTCCCTGGGGGTTCACGCTAAATTGCAGTCACCCGAGCGGGCACCATAGTTAATTACCCCCTTACAGCTTTTAGTAGGCGGGACAGACGCTTAAGCTGGCCAAGCTGACAGTAATCTAGTGAGACTCCCCACAGAGATAGATCGATATAAAAATCTATGGAAATGGGGTGTTAGACGTAAATTTACTTTGAAATTTACTAATTCATAATGCCCTCAGATGACTGATATTAGAAATACAAAAAAAATTTTTTTTGCAGTAATTTTTATGTGCAGATATATATATATATATATATATATATATATATATATATATATATATATATATATATATATATATATATATATGAATTAACTATTTGCCTGAATTGCCACTCCGTTAATGGAAAATGAAAACATGGAAAGCAGACAATTAAATGG